TTAATAAATTATTAAAGAGATAAATAAATGAAGATTCATGGACCAATCAAATTGAAGTCTTCTTTTTCAATACTCTCTCTCCCAACACCTATAAATAGGGGCTCTCCCTAAGGTGAAAAAACACAATTCATATTCAAGATTCAAGTTCCAAGAGCTCTACAGAATTCTCTCAACGAAATTCAAGTGTTCTTGAAAATCCAAAGGCGTTCTTGGAGATCCGAAGGAAGATTCAAGCACGTTCAAGTCCAAGACCGACGTTCAATTCGGAAACAAGCTGTCAAGCCTCCGAATTGCGTTATTCAAGTTCAAGTGTTTTGAAGATCCAAAGGCGTTCTTGAAGACCTGAAAGAAGATTCAAGCGCGTTCAAGTCCAAAACTGACGTTCAATCCGGAAACAAGTTGTCAAGCCTCCGAATTACGTTATTGAAGTCAAGACCGGCGTAGAGAAGATCAAAATCAACTTTGCGGCGAAGACGAAGGATTCGTGTTCTTCACGTTCTTGGGAAATCACAACGTTCGATTCGAGATTAAGCTGTCAAGCCCTCGAAGAAACGTTATTTAAATTCATATTCAAGACCGGCGGAGATCAAATTGAAGATTCGTCTCCAAAAGTCTCATATCTATTTGAAGATCGCTCTTGGAGAAATTAATCAGAGGAATAATAGAGATTTGTAATCTACTATATTTCTTTTGATCCGTAGAAAATCATTTGTACGAATTTCTCGTGTTTATTAATTCAATAATACGAAATTTCGCGTTACAGTACTTATATACACAAAAATATACCAGCTAAGAGCAGTCTCCCCTGGGCAGATAGCCTGGACTTCAAAGAAAAATTCACGAGACAACAATTACAAGATTGCTACTTCCTTCCCCACATTAGAAGTAGACCACCACTTAGCCCTGGGGTTCAACTGCAGCCCAATTGTTCTGAAAACCGATTTTCCTGCACACAGATTTAATAAAGTCATTTTTCTTTTTTGTTTCAGCTAAGAAGACAAAATTTGGAGGGTGGAGTCTGGTAGATTCATTAAGTTGGGTAACTGTAGAGAGTCCCCCCAGACCTCTACAGTTCCACAGGATAATACTCATTGATCCGGTTGGGCTCACTTAAGGCTGGCCGCCTCCACCTTTTCAGAGTTCAGTTTTTGCTTCTTCTGCAAGTGATCCTCCTGGTTTTTGTGCTTAATTGTTGTATGTGTTGCAAGTTTTCCCCTCATCTGTTAGAGGCCTCTTATTATGCTGCATTGTTAATGTATTCATTTTCTGACCTTTGGTTTTTTATGCCTTTTCTGCCTGTGTAGGCATTCTCTTCCAACTTCTTTGCTTGGATGTATTCTGAATTCCAGAGAATGCTAGGCTAGTGCCAGTAGGGATCATTGCCATTGGGCTTGCTAGGACCTCCTTAGAGGCACTCCGATTTAGAATGAGCCCTTCCTCCACCTGATCCTTGCATATTGGTTTAATGACGGTTCCTGGGGATGACTTTTTGTTGGAGGTATCATCTGGGGGGTTTAGTGGAGTATAATCCTCAACCAGCTCCATCATATTTTTATTGTTGTTCTCTGATTCCTTAGCTTTGGGAGAGGAAACTAATTGTTGAAGAGGTTCTTGTGGAGCATGTGAGCTACCCTTCTCAGATGGAAAGCTTGGTGGTTGAGATGAAGAGGGCTGACAGTCAGTGGTTTTACCTCCAAGAGTGCTGGTTGTATTACTTCCGGTGTTTTGTCTGCTTTCTAGCACCTTCATCCATTCCCCGTAGTTTCCTTCCTTCAGTTCTCCTTTCTCAATGTCAGTAGCTCTAGTTTGGCAGTTCTTGTCCAAGTAACCAAGATTCCCACAGTGATAGCAGAGAATAACCAGCTTCTCGTAGTGGAATGTAGTCATCACCTGATGATTATGAAGTTTCATGTTTACACAACGGGGCAGTGGCTCATTCACGTCGACGGCATTGTTAATGCATTCATTTTCTGACCTTTGGTTTTTTATGCCTTTTCTGCCTGTGTAGGCATTCTCTTCCAACTTCTTTGCTTGGATGCATTCTGACTTCCAGAGAATGCTAGGCTAGTGCCAGTAGGAATCATTGGCATTGGGCTTGCTAGGACCTCCTTAGAGGCACTCTGGTTTATAATGAGCCCTTCCTCCACCTGATCCTTGCATATTGGTTTAATGAGGGTTCCTGGGGATGACTTTTTGTTGGAGGTATCATCTGGGGGGTTTAGTGGGGTATAATCCTCAACCAGCTCCATCATATTTTTATTGTTGTTCTCTGATTCCTTAGCTTTGAGAGAGGAAACTAATTGTTGAATGAGGTTCTTGTAGAGCATGTGAGTTGCCCTTCTCAGATGGAAAGCTTGGTGGTTGAGATGAAGAGGGCTGAGAGTCAGTGGTTTTACCTCCAAGAGTGTTGGTTGTATTACTTCCAGTGTTTTGTCTACTTGCTAGCGCCTTCATCCATTCCCCATAGTTTCCTTCCTTCAGTTCTCCTTTCTCAATGTCAGTAGCTCTAGCTCTAGTTTGGCAGTTCTTGTCTAAGTGACCAAGCCTCCCACAGGAATAGCAGAGACTAACTAGCTTCTCGTAGTGGAATGTAGCCATCACCTGCTGATTATGAAGTTTCATGTTTACACAACAGGGCAGTGGCTCATTCACGTCGACAGCAACCAGTAACCGCAGGTAACTCCCAATAACACCCCCAGCTTTAACAACTGCAACATTCTTGATCTTTTTAAAAACCTTTCCAACCTTCATTCCCACACAAGATTAGGTACTGATTATCAAATATCCAGTGAATACCTCAAAGTACCTTCTGTTTATCTTCACTACTGCCAAAAAGAAATTGAAAGAAATTGGTTCTGAGCTCTCGAACTTCTACTGGATACTGGATTTGCCATATCAAGTTGACAGTGCGCTTTAATCCCACCAGGCTAGTCTTCTTTTCCCCAATTATCTTGCCGAAGAGACTCTTCGTACATTCTCCTGCACTTGCCTTGATATCGTCATCTCCTAATTCGATAACATCGCTCTCCGAGGCTGAGAGAGCTATTTTCCTTAGTTTATCTTCGAGTTCTTCTGCTTCTTTTGATGAGTTGGAGGCCATTTTCACAGCTAAATCCATAAGAAGAATATCCCCAAATCCCCGATCTTGCGTGGTTAGGGTTAATAAAATTAGCTAAAATAGAAAAGAGTAGAGAAGATGAAACCCGCACCACTGGAAGGGAAATCAAGGGGAAATAATAGACAAAGAATGGTAAATCTCAATTGAAGAGGAATGGATCTCGACTGAGAGGATGAAAACCCTCACTCAAGGGAATTCTAGATTTTTTTGGTTAACTTTTCTTATTCAATTCTTTAATAAGGAAAAAGAAAAAAAATTGCATAATCCTGCCTGATCAGCATTTTATACCATTTTTGTGGTTGATGAAATATCAAAATAATGGACCAAGGTTGATAGGTAAGGTCAACAGAGCATATCATTTGCGTAAGCAAACCATTACCAAAATAGTGGACCATTTGTGATATTTTCCCTACAAAATAGTATAATTCAAATCCATATTTTCCAAAAAGCCTTTGCATTAGATCCAAATTTTCCGCAACTTTAGATATATTCTGAATTCTAATCCAAATATGTAACAGCTTCCGGCCGGGTATCAGATTCTGAAATTCAGTAACAGTTTCCGGGGTATCAGCTTCGACTAAATTTAGTGTAGTATATTTGTGAAAATGATTTTGTTGTGCTTATAGTGCACTGCAAAAGGTGTAATTGAGTTTAACAGAAGTTATTAATATATATATCAGCCGCCTGGGCCGAGGGCAGTGGTTAGCGTAACGAGTGGTCCTCTGACAAATATACGATGTCCAACATCATGAAGTTATTAGGCACAAGGCAGAACTCACAGGGATGAAGAGATCTGCTCACATTCGTCAATATCCAACATCATGAATGCAACCGTAAAAAACAAATGGCTTTCTCATATACGATGAGAAAGGGGCCAACGACATTAACAAGAATCAAATGCTACAACCCGAGCATCTTATGACAAGTATGCTTTAAATTAATTCAATTTGGATGCAGAAATTACATATCAATAGAACTTGAGAAAAATTTTCAGAAATTGGAATTATATCACAATCACAAGCAGAGTGGTGGTATCAACAAGAAAGGACCAACTTGGTCACAAAGCACCAGTCTAATGGCCATGATTTAAATTTTCTGAAACATTATGTGGAAGAATCGGATGATGACCTCAGGAAACAAGGTAAAGGTAACTTCCAACATAACTTAAAATCACCTCTCTACATCTCACGAGCACTTATTTGTCCCCTTCAAATAAATGACTAATGGCAGATATTCGAAACATTGCACATGAAAATCATGTCAGTTCATATTATTACACGAAATTTCACAACCATATCCCAGCATCATAATCAGTAACTAAAGACTGTGAGAACACAAACTTCACCATCATAAGACCAACAAACCAGCTCATGAAGAAAGAAAAGAAAAGATAACCAAATAAAAGTAGAGCAAATTAATAAAAAAAAAAAAA